GATTACACTGGCCCTCCTCCCAGGACTCTAATACACTGCCCCCCTTTACCAATAATACACTGCCCACTCCTTCCCCCAATGTAATACACTGTCCCCTCCTTAACCCAAGTTAATACTCTGCCCTTCCCCCAATTTAACACACTGTCCCCCTAACCACCACTCTAATACTGCCTCCCTCCCCAAATTAATACACTGCTCTTGCTCCAATTTAACACATTGCCTCTACTCCCACCACTCTAATACACCACCCACTACCTCACCCAATTTAATACACTGCCTCCCTCAGTGGTGTATGTTGGATCTGTGCTGCTCTAGGCATGACGAAACTTGGGCACCCCCTAATTTATATTTACCACACCCCTTCCTGTCATGCCACACCTCTTCCTGTTAAAGACACCCACTTTGGCTGACAGACACACTCTCAGATACACTGACATACACACACACACTGATTTTACACAATCTGACAGACACACACAATCACTGACTCACTCACAGACACACACTGACAGACACTAACGCAAGCATTTAGAAAATTAGGCAGACTAGATAGGCCGAATTGCTGTTATCTATCGTCACATTCTACGTTTCTATGAAAAGATAAATCTATTCTATCTTCAGATACATTTCTTTATGTCATAATGGTGAACTTATGGCATTCTGGCATTCTGACACGTAATGCGAGAGTACATCATGTATTCTCAATGGCTGACACAGGAATTGTCCTATTGCATAAGCTGCTGCACCCCTTGGACAATATAGCTAAACATTGAACCACAGAGTGTTAGAGCGATGCAACTAGAGCCTTCAGTACACAAAAGCAAAAATAGATGCTTGCTTGGAATACAGGCTCAAGGAAGCAGCATGCCGCTACAAGAAAAAAACACAGTGACAATAAAAGGTGTCAGGTTGTTGAACTTTGATGTACTTCCATGTTTCATGAATGCTCTGCCTGTACAACTGTCTTACAAAAAGTCTAACTTGTTACTTGAAACCCAAAATGTTGTCCATCTCTCATTTGCTTATGTAGCTTCAATGGGCATACAGACAAGGCCCCAAGGCCGATGTCCTTAAAGCACCTCCCTCTGTGGCCATGAACCCAGTGTCCCCATAGGAAATTTGGTCCTGCATAGAGGATGCAGATGGAACTGAACACTATTTCCATCAATGAGCACCTATCATCCAATTCTCTGCATACAATACCAAATTATTATTATTATTATTATTATTAATCCCACACCCACCAAACTCCAAATTAATTTGTCCATTATCTCTGTTACCTGCTCAGCAATTCACCTCTGGTCCAGGAGTAGGTGAACAGGAGGGTTAATTGTTCCAAGTAATATAACTTGTAGATTCTTTTATTGGAGATTTATGTATATTAACAAGATTAGGATTCAGCTATAGTTATTACATTTGTATTATTGTGTGAGTGCAGAGTTTTAGTGTTCATCACAATAGTGAGGAAACATGTCTTCCATGTCTGATGTTTATAAAGTATTCAATATTTATACTCACCTAAATGATATGTTAGAATAGATGCAGCCTTTTAATAAAGTGATCTTGGGGAGCCATATTCTGCTGAACCCCAGCTAATTTACCTGGGACCAGAAGTAGTCATGTAATACCTCTTGACATTTCAAAAGGTCAAGGAGAGACACTTTAATTTTAGGGCTGATAGTGTCTGAGGGAGGGGCTTTTATGTTATATGTAAAATATTAGGTAATTTACTAATAATTTATGCAACTGAAATGTAATTTTGAACAAGAACAATGTTTCTTATCTACACAGACGGATTACTAAATACATTTATTGTAGTTTAAAGACATATTACTGTGAGTATTTTTGCTGTGGAACTCTGTTATACACTCAAACATACCAACAATATAGGGCTCCTAGAAAACAGAGACATAGGACAGAAAAGAGGGACAAATTGATTGTCCCCAAAATAAGCACTGTCCTTCCAAATATAAGACACTTGGGAGATATGCAAAATTAATGCATTTTTGAAAAAGGACACTGTACCTGAAATGTACTCTATTCCTCCATTAAAGGGTGAGTAGCTCTAATTAAGTACATTTTTGGAATGTGGTTAATACTTTATTTACTCTTATACTGCTTACTGATCGTTATAACCACATGAGGCAGCATTGGTGTAATTTTATTAAAATCCTAATCCTTCAGAAAAGGTTTTACGTGCAATTCTTGTGAGTAATAATTTTAAATATTCTTATTCTACCTTATGGTCAGGGCCGGTGCTTCCTATAAAGTGACCTAGACAGGCGCCTAGGGCGCCACACTGCGCCCTGCGCCCTAATCACTGGCCCTTCTAAAGCTGCAGCCACCTGAGCGCTCTATAGAGAGCCTCAGGTGGCTGCAGCACTGCCTCTCTCTGCCTTTTCTCCTCCCCCTCCCCTCACCCCCTTCCCTTCCCTGTATAGCGTGGCAGAGCTCCTCTCCGGTCCACGGTACAGGAACATCCATGTGCAATTCTTGTCAGTACAACTGAGTAAAGGAAACAGAAGCTCCTGTACCGCGGACCGGAGAGGAGTTTGGCCACGCTACACAGGGAAGGGGAGGTGATGAGAGCACAGGGAGGGAGGGGGGAGGTGAGGAGAACACAAGGAAGGGGAGGTGAGGAGAGCACAGGGAGGGGGAGGTGAGGAGAACATGGGGGGAGGTGAGGAGAACACAGGGGAAGTGAGGAGAACACGGGGGGAGGTGAGGAGAACACAGGGAAGGGGATAGGGAGAACACAGGGGGTGAGGAGAACACAGGAGGAGAAGTTGAGGAGAACGTGGGGGAGGGAGAGACCACTAAGGGAGGGAGGGGGTAGTGGAGAGACTACTAGGGGAGGGTGCGGGGAGAGCAGAGTCCACAAAGGGAGGCGGTGGTTAAGAGAACGTGGGGGGTAGAGTCCACTAAAGGAGAGGGGTGGTGAGGAGAACGTGGGAGGGAGGAGAACATGGGGGGGAGACCACTAAAGGAGGAGGGTGAGAAGAGTCCACTAAGGGAGGGTGGGGGGAGAGCAGAGACCCCTAAGGGAGGGTGGGGGTGGAGAGACCACTAATGGAAAGGGAGGGCAGAGGAGAGCAGAGACTACTAAGGGGAAGATGAGAGACCACTAATGGAAAGTCAAGGAGGTAAGTAGAGACCACTAAGGGACAGGGGAAGAGAAGAGAGACCACTAAGGGGCAGGGGAGACCTCTAAGGGATGGAAGGGAGAGCTCTATAGGACAGGGGGCAGGACAGGGAGCTCTTTCACACTACGCGCACAGACACACAATGCATCCCTATACATACACAGAAACACAATACATCCCTACACACATACAAACACAACATGCTTCCCTTACACACAGAGAAACACACAATGCAACCATTACACATAAAGACAATGCATCCTTTGCACACATACACAGAAACACACAATGCATCCCTTACACACACATTCAAACACACACTGCTTCTCTTACACACACAGAGAGACACAATGCATCTCTTACATACACTCAGTGCACCCCTTACAGACACACACACTACATCCCTTACATCCACAGAAACACACTCCCTTATGCATACAAGCACAGGTTCATTCAATGCATCTCTTACACACAACCAGAAACACACAATACATCCTTAATACACAAACACACATTAGATCCTCTACAATAACACATAACACATCCCTTACACACTCCACTCCCTGTGAGCGAACTCATGGGTGAAACATGTAGGTGGATTTATGGGTGGGCCTAATGAACATACTCATGGTCAGGCCCTGGGACCCAGACCTAGAGGTGTGTAAGGGGCCTTAAAAAATGGAGCTGCTTCCCATTCTCCCAGAACATTGAATTTTGTGACCACAGTTACAAACAGCCTCCGGAGGTCTACACCAGACCAGTGGAGCCAAACTGCAGCCAGAGCCCATCACCATCCTCATCTGGTTGTAAGTACACAATCTAGTATATTATTAGTGACAGTAATCTCTAATTTACCTCACATTAAAGGGACACTATAGTCCCCAGAACCACTGCAGTTTAATGAACTGGTTCTGGTGTCTATAACCTATCCCTGCAGGCGTTTTAATATTAACACACACTGTGTGTAGGACTGGCGTTATTTCATATAGCAGATCATATGGGTGGGGCATTGTGATGTCACATGGGAGGCGAGGGGGCGGCAAAACATTTTTTTGTCTAGGGCGGCAAAAATCCTTGCACCAGCCCTGCTTATGGTACATAAGAAATGATTACGGCAAAGATTAGAAGATCGTGGCTATATTGCATTAGAAACCAGAGCCAGAAAAATTGAAGATGAGGTTTAAAGACCCATTTCCAATTACAGTACTATTTCATTTTTCAGTGACTGTTTAAATTATTAAAATGAAAGAGTTCATGATTCTTGTATTAAATGTGCAAAGAAGTGAATCATTGGCTCTAGATGTGTTTTATATCACAGAATATGGTGGGCTAGTAGAAATATTGAATGGTGTTACTATAAATAAAGCCAGATGGTTTCCCTTTAGAACAAAATGTACCAAGACAAGTTTTATTTTGTTAAGGACTTTTAAGAACACAACTTGTACCATAAATATGCAAATATCACTTATAGATAGGATGAGAAAGTTCCAGGAGCTATAGTAAATCACAATAGTAGCAAGATTAAAATATCAAATAAAAAATGTGACTCAAGTTAATGTTTCCAAAAAATTATAATAAATGAAATAGTCCAAATGTCTAAAAAGTATTCACATAAGATTATCACTTGTGAAAAGTCCAATAAGATGAAGATTAGTCCACAGAATGTAGCATATGCATTATATTGGGCTGTGTACATAGATAATGCACAGTAGTGTGGTTCCCATGTCCGTATAATATAATTTACTGGAAAACAATAAATATAATAAAACTAAAATAAAGAAAAAAAGAAAATAAAGAAAATGAAAGAGTAATGCAGTACTAAATCAGCTGTGTGCTAGTTAATGAAGATGAGAGAGAAGTACTTCTTTGAAAATTCCAAACAACTTTAATGAGTCAATAATTAAAATCTAAATAAGTCCATTAACAAATAGTAGACAAATGGTCCCAACAGTAGCTCAGGATATTCTGCACATTAGCTGCTATCCTCACAATGTGTGGTCCGCCGGTGAGGTAGCGTGTGTTCCACGCAGCGTTCCACCTGAAGCCTCACTCAAGGATGTGCTTCCACCGATGTCAGAAATATCTTCGATACCTCTCCGTATGTGAGTCGAAGTCAGCTTGTGCGCTAGAGTTACTGTGGTAACATACATCCAATGAACACTGGACCTGTTTTTCAGTATGCCTTACGCATTTTGTGAGGAGATAGCCTCACTTCATCAGAGTCTGCGATAGCTGGCGGATAAGCTTGGGGATACTTTTATATACACACACATGTAAATTGATACATTTAACCAGCTGTTACAAATATAATTGTATCAAGTATAATCCTAATTCACATAATTCTACATAACATAAATAGGACAGCAAGCTAATTTAAAATGCGGATATCTGTCAGGGTTCTTACCTGATGTGGAGTCCGATATGCAGAGATATACCCTCACCCAAATAAACACAGACCAAGGTGACCAGGTAAGAATCCACCTGGTCTGTAAATCTGTGCACGGGGGCTATGCAGGGATATAACTCCAAGTTGCAGTACAAGCAAGGACAAGCAGAAGAGTAGTCGTGGAAAGCCGAAGTGAGAGGATGCCAGAGGTCAGAGAAAACGATGAGAAGAGCCAAGGTCAGCAGCCGGGAACAAACTGGAGAACACACGATCTGGATACGCAGGAACAGGAACCAAAAACGCAAACCAGAGTCAATAAATTGACAAAGTTCACAGGGCATGGGAGTGCTTATATACCCAGCTAATTAATTATCTGCTTCAGGTGGGCTAGATAGACAGGAGCAAAAAATATACAAATAGCGCTGGCACTCAGTCACGTATTGGTGCAGGTATTCGAGGTTTAGCCCAACCTCATGACATATATAACAATTTAAACATAAATACCGCACTCAAATGCATTTACTATGCACACTAAGACAAAATTCATATATAGGTATGCAGGAAAAATTCATTTATTAGTCACCAATTCTGTGTATTTAATTGGAAAAAAAGGCTATTAAAGAAAATTGGTGATCCTTTCTTCAATTCATATATCATACACATAGAAAAAATTCTAAAAAAAGCTACTATTTACAACCACTAGTGATCCCGTCATTAATTCATATATCATACACATAGCACAAGTTCATGATATTTACTAATACTATTTACCGATATTTACAGTTCTAATATCCTATACATGCAGGGCTGAGTTTTCATAGGTGGATCCACCACCTGTTGTGAAAATGGTAGGCCTTAGAAAAAATCAGGAAAAATAAAAAAGAAAAAGGAAAACAATATTACCAGCAAATTGTAAAAAAAAACAAGAAAAAAGGAAAAAAGAGAAAAAAAGGAAAAATGTATATAAGGCAGTCCAATTGTAGAAAACAGTGCACTGAAAAAAATTGTTTAAATAGGTGGATCTCACCACAAGTAGTATCTTTGTAGGGATGGACTGTAGTGATGTCGAAGGTGGTCCTTGATTGTAGAGGGGATAAATCAATAAAGCAGTAGAGGAGAGTCCTCCTGTGTTCATTGCTGGTATTGTGGTTAAGTCCTCCTATTAGATGAGTCAGCTGATAGGCAGTAAACGGGCAATAGATGAGTCAGCTGATGGGCAGCAAACGAGCAGCACGCTCGGTACGTCCATGTCCCTTCGAAGGCCCCTGCAATCATAGACAGGAGCAGCCACATGTAAAGTTCAGCCCCCAGTGAAGTGTAGCCCAGAGGGAAGACAGCAGGACTAAGGCAGAAAAAGTCCAGAGTTCAAATCCCCTGTTGGGCACCTCTGGGGCAACCACGTCTGGCTCTCTGGATGTCTGTGACAATATCTTAGGAAGCACTAATAAATGTCTCAAGAATGTTTTGGTGGCCTTCACTCAGGAAAGATATCAAAGACTTGATGTTTTTGCAGTTTCCAAGGTTCCCCATAAACTTCCATGTGGGTTATTACAACTAGAGATGTCGCGAACTGCTCGCCGAACTGTTCGCGAACTGTCCGCCGGCGAACAATAGCGTGTTCGCGTTGGGCGAACATATGCGATTTCCGGTCCGCCCCCTATTCGTCATCATTGAGTACACTTTGACCCGGAACCTCACAGTCAGCAGACACTTCCTGGGAGGGAGGGTCTGCTGCTGATTGGCTGGAATGTGTCTGCTGACTGTGAGGTTCCGGGTCAAAGTGTACTCAATGATGACGAATAGGGGGCGGACCGGAAATCGCATATGTTCGCCCAACGCGAATACGCTATTGTTCGCCGGCGGACAGTTCGTGAACAGTTCGGCGAGCAGTTCGCGACATCTCTAATTACAACCACTTCCTGACAACTGGCAGCTAAAAGATTTATTGCTCTATGCTGCACTGTTGTCACACAGACGCTGTGAAAAGCTCTGTGTAAAGGAATTTCAAGTTGATGCTGTGTAAGGCATTGCATCACTAAATTTAAAAGTGTTATGTCAGAAATCTTGTTGCAACTTGCATCTATGTTGATATAAATGATGCTATATAGCTGTCTGTAAACTGTTAAATTATTGCCATATTGTATAATTTTGTTATACCTAAATATTCACTGATTAGTGTCACGCATGTTACATATTATTATTATTATTGTCACAATAAATTATATTTTTATAATTAGTTTGTGATTAATGTGTGAAATATAAATCCTCTAATAAACAAATTCCAGGTTCTAGAAGAGTTAAAAATAGTGGATAGCTCTTAGCTTTAAATTAATCAAGGGGAACAGTGCTAATATATACATTTTTGATATAATAAAAATTATTAAGATAAATATCCATACAACAGTTTTTCCTTTTTTTTTTTTTTTTAAGTTTGTTTATCCCATGTGCTGTGTGCTCAAATAGTATCGTAACAGTTGTATATCAGGAATTAGTGAGTATAATAGGCTGGAAGTGACCATCATTTTAATGCATTATATAGATAATGCATTTTAAACATGCAAAAAAAAAAAATTAAATAAAATAAAAGACTAAAAGACTTTCAGCGATCCCAATACTACTGCTGATACACTGCAAGTAGAAACATCAGATCAGGGAATCTCAATCTGGTATATGTCATTTTTATTTTCCCATAGTGCCCTGTCCGACAAAGGTCATCATAACATGTGCAATGAGCAAGCCTTAATAATGCCTAGACTGCAGAGTTAGGCAACCTTTGGCAACTCTAGATGTTGTGGACTATATCTCCCCTGATGCTTTGCCAGTATTATGGCTGTAAGATCATACTGGGAGATGTAGTGCACAACATGTGGAGTGCTGAAGGTTGCCTACCCTGGTCTAGAGTGTCCCTATTACTAAAGATTCTTCTTTCTTGCAATCCTCTAAGGAGGAACATACCAAAGAAGAACCTATAGTGTAGATTGGTGGCATACCCATCCATGAATACCTATGCATACTCAAGTGTATATATTCTTTGACTACAACCCATTATATCCATAGACTGGGTGGTTCCCTCCTACATAGCACCAGGAAAAGAACAGAGATGGACCCTGTATGTTTGAGGTGATTAAACTTAACAGACTAACTATAGAAGCACCAACCAGGACATCCCACTAGAGCAAGCATGTCAAACTCAAAGGCTAACATGGGCCTAATAAATATGGTTTAAGTTTATGTGGGCCGCACAAAAAAAAACCCTTAAATGATCATAGAACAACATTGTTATTTCATGACTGATGACCCCCAACATATATTTATATATATATATATATATATATATATTATTTAATAATTAAAGCATATTTATTTATTAGTCCCTTTCAATCTTCATTAACGACTCTAATAGAGTCTAATATAGCCTGGATGAAGCCTTATTGGGCCGTTGGGCTTGAAAGTGGTGGTGGGGACTGTTAACCCCCCTCACCCCTGGCACATTTGCAATCCACACATCCGATTTCTACAAAACCCTAGCACCCCCCTATACTAAACCCCAGCACCCCCTCTACAAAAACCCCAACCCCTCTGTACAAAACCCCAACCCCACTGTACAAAACCTGTACACAACCTCAGCCCCCCAGTACAAAACTCCATTCCCTGTTTTAAAAAAAAAAAAAAAGCAATATTAGCATCCAGACTCATACTTTACTCACCTTGTATCTGGTATCCTGCACCTATACCCCCACTGGCACCGTTCGCAGCATGTGACACAGCCAAAACTCCTTAATGTCGGAACCTGTAGACGTCACATCAGGACGTGACAGTGCGCACACCTGCGCGTCTCCGCCCGACTCCATTCTTTCCTGGACTGCCTCCGCCTGCCTCCATTCTCTCCTGGACTGCCTCCACCCGCCTCCATTCTCTCCTGGTCCTCCTACCAGCCTCTGGACCACCTACGCCTGCTTCAATTCATCTCTGCCTGCTTTATTTCATTTCCGCCCACCTCCAGGTGACCGGAGAAATTAATATCTTTGCTGGGCTGCAAAGATATTTATTGTAAGCCACATGCGGCCTGCGGGCCCCAAGTTTGACATCAATGCACTAGAGGAAGACGAACAATCACCCACCTTAAGTATAAGATATGACCTATGGTATTTTATTTTATCCTGTCTACAAAACTTCCTATTAAAGCTGTGGTGTAACGAACCTGGGATGTAATTGTCCACATAGGCATTATTAAAAAGTTAATTAAAATTAAATGTAGAAATCTCACAGATCTTGATTATAATTTGAAGACGTTGAGTATGTGCTTATTCCACAGAAAAAAATGAAAACATTTCTAAGTAGTCAGTATTTCCATATCACAGAATCTTCACTTCATCTTTTATAGGTTTCTCAAGGAAACGACTCAGATTGCTTATATAATGTATTGTAACAGATCCCCTATACCCCGACTGAGTAAATCTTTTGAAGAGTCCCCCTATTCCCGCAGAGTAAGAGTTTGTTATAGTTTTTGCATCCCCAAACATCAGCCGAGACTTGATGAAGGGTAAATCAACTGGTTTTATATAGGAAAAAGCACAGATATTAATGGGCAGGAAAAGGGATATATAAGTTAAGGCACACAGAGAGGAGTGGGGAAAGGTGGAATGGAAGTTTTTTTGCCAGTAACTTACAGTCTTTTTG